ATGGCCCATGGATTGCAGAAGAGGACTTTTATTTATACTGCATGATGCTTATCTTGACAGTGGCACCAGTTTAGAGGAAGCTTCACATAAACTTCCTTACTAGCAGGCATAATAAAAGGAGAGGAGAGGAATTGAATTGAAATATAAAACAGTTAGTGTTGCCTTTTTGTTCCAAACACCTTGCCGAACCAGTTATCTAAACAGGTGTGTTAATCCGATTAAAAAAAGGTAAGCTAAAAAGGTCATAACAACTGCTAAATAGTGCAAAACTAAATGTACTGTACCTACTTTTAAACAATATCAAATCCTACTTTAAAGAAAAAGTTCATGGAGTGAATAACACCTGTTTTCTGACAAGAATACACAGCAGAGGTGCCTGGCAACTTACCAAGCTGCGGTCTCTGTTCCACTATCTATTTACAATACTTTTCTCATAAAACGCCAAAATATGAACCAGAGGCTTTCATTTTGAGCAGCAGATTTATTTTGTTGGCAGTCAACAACAACAAACACCAGCAAAATGTGCCATCTGTAAAAGGTTCATGAGCTGTAGGTGTGAATGATGAAAACTATACCGTTTTATAAATGGCAAGTTTCTCACACTTTGTATCCAATGTCTCATTTCAGGCTGGGTAGGAGCAAGTAAGCTTTCTATTTAGGAACTTTGTGTCTAATGTATTGTGTTCACTTTTTTGTTTTCTTCTTCCAACTCATTTTAAGCCATTGGAAACAATTAAAAGAAAAATGAAGCAGCGGTAAATGTAGTCAGGGAAAGACTTCTATAAAGCTATTTACAAATGACAATACAAGCTTACATTGTGCAACCTTGCATCACTCTATTATTCAACAGCTGATTCTGTGGCTGATTGCTCATTTCTTTTTCAAATCTCCATCCAAAGCAGCTCTACAGATCTCGTAAGACAACGAGTTAAGAAGATGCTAAACACCTGGGCGATAATGGCACAAACTGTTATGGTGATAGACAAACACCTGTTAATGGCCTCTCTGCTGCCTTCATCGCCAACAACGTGGCCTTTATACCTATTGACAGTGTCAACCACACATTATACACTAAACTATATATTTCTTGCCCTCGACTCAAGAAAGAAATATCATACGACTTTGAATGATGTATGTTATAACCAGAATATATTTCTATGTAAATAAGTTTGGCATAAAAGAGTCTAAATTAAAAGAACATTTTATAGGCCCTGACTTGTGTTGTGAAAAAGAACACTAGAACCCAAACTTCAGCTATCTGATAGCCTGTAACGGAATAAGAGAAAAAAAGGTAATAAAAGCCATTTGTGATTGCTTACTCTGGTGGTTGTAAGACTTAAGTGTCGACATCATGCCTACAAAGTGTTGGATAAAATATGCTAAGAGGCTGAAGTCGTTCACGAGTCTAACCCGAGTGTGTTACAAAAGGGGAGAATCAGAAGTCGAGTGATCTCAGCCTTTACTTCAGCCACACAGAGGAACTTGTTGAGAGCGCTTGAGCCAGTGTTGTGCTCATTGTTTCCTCAGATGCTTCACCTTGTGATTTCTTTTTATATGAGCAGCGCTGTTGGTTCACCCGGACCTCAGCAACACTTGGAGAACACATGGAGTAATGACACTATATTTAATTCAATCTAAAAAACAACGAGTTCAGCGCTTCCTTTGAAAACATTACCTTTGGCAACAAACTCACACACCTACAAAAAGGCAAACACACCTGACTGTTGTCACTGACAACACTTGCACTGTTATTTCTATGCAGATCAACAACAGGTCTGAGTTTGTTTACAGCAGTTGAAGAGAATAACAGAGAACAAACAATACCCCCTTAGGATATAGCTTGTTCTATTCAGTTGATCAGGGGTCAAAGTTATTTGTCCTACAAACAGAGGGCCAGTGCACTCATGATAATAAGGCATACTGAATCCACTTGCTCCAGCAGCACTGACTAGAAACTGACCTGGCACTCTGACTGCTCTGTAAAGGGAACAAGTGAAAAAAGGTTAAATCTCTTCCACGAACCAATGGGAATTCCCCCAGTCAAACCCTCCTGTCTACAATCAAATTAGTGAGTTTAAATTAGTTTGGACCATGCACTTCAGGCTTTTTTCAGGTAATTGGGGTAGGCGTATGCAACAACGAATACAGAATGAGTTGTGGGACTGAGCTTGAGAGTGACTTTGAACAGTAAACAGTCAGAGGAATAGCAGTTTGTTCCTCCGCCGAGAGCAGCAGTGAGAGATCAGGTGGTTTGCTGCGCTGCTGTAATTAACAACCTCAGCCAAATCCAGCCAGGCATGACTGGCAAATTAACATGCAGCAGCTTTCACACTCTATCCCACCGATCTGCTCAGCGAGCAGAAAACCAATACAGGCCAGCTCTGAAAATAGCCCAGACCACGGATTGCCCTTTAAACTCCAATACCACTGACACTATGACTAGTCTCCACGAGCTGGTCGAACACATTTCTGCTCCTAGTACTACAAAACGGCAAAGAAAATAACTTTCAAAATATTTGACAACAAATGTGTTGCCTAACGGATGCTGAATTTCGACTGTCAACTGCCAAAAAAGTTATGAACTAATATGTGTGCACAATTGCGGAGCCCCTAAATTGTTCTGCCTGTAGCAGGTGAAGAAGGCTTGGTTTATTGTTACTGAAACACACTATAGCTGTTACCATTTAGTAATAATAATATGAGGGATGTCAGCCTGACTGACAGCTTTACTTTTCCTCTGGATTAAATCCTTCTCCTACATATATGGGAATAGTAGGGTTTCCAAAAATACCAAACACTGCCAGCAACTAATTGGAGTCAGCTATATTTCCACAAGTCTCTGTCGTGTCTTCCACAGCAGTCCCATCTCTCATCACTGTTTCCTGTTCACACAGGAAGCAGCAGCACCAGGAGGAAGTCCTTCCTTAGCTGAAAGCACGTGAAATCAGGGAGGCAGGGTGACCTTAACACATTGGCCCTTCTATCAGCTACTGGACAAACAGACCCGCCTTATCTTTAACTGCACATGAGGGAAAGAAAAACACTGAGGCGATGTCACGCTCAGTATTGACCTCTACTTTGGTTGTACTAGTCTTGACATTGAAGGTGTGATGATAGTAAAGAGATCTCTCTATCAACTTCAAAAGGTTGTATACTGGCTCTCACAGCTCTGCCACTGTGCAGGAAAATCAATAAACAGCTAATATAACACTATGACTGGTGCATGCTGGTCTAGTGCAAGCATGCACCAGTCAAGACTAATAGTTGAATCCCTAAACATCTAAAAAGGTACCTTATTGCAAGAGTGATTCTTAGTTTCCGCAGACTTCCTCTGCAAACCCAACTTCACTTTCACACTTTGAAGATGAATTAAAAAGGTAGTCTTATCAAAATCAATCAGTGAGAAATATCCGGCGGAACCTCTAACCAAAAACATAGGTTCCTACCTTTATACCCACAGTGTTAATTGGCTCCTACAAAGGGTAAGGAATCAAGTTATGCCAATTAATTTTTAAACCATGCTATTATTGAATATTTTAGTACACATCAAAACATATTATAAAAAAATAAAGCTTTAATAGTTACAGAGTATTATTTCTCCATTATAGTGTAAGTACAAATATATAATAGGTTTATAAGTATATATTTTAAATTGCATTACCTAGACGTCCAACCTTACGAGATAGAAACTCTACGGTACAATACCTGACCTACAATGGATAGAAAGCACTTCATACATACAGTGGGTTGCGCTTATACAGAATCCATATCTCACAATTCCCTCCAGTCAACTTTTTCTCCTCTCCACACTTTCCCAAAGTACCCTGCCTGACCCAGTTTTATCTATGGTACAATGAGAATAGCAGAAGTGTGTGTGTACATACAAATGCTACAGTCTCCAGTACAATAAAGGTGCTGTTTGTAACAGTCTTCAGTATGCAATGAAACATAAACATATTTATTTCTAAAAGACAACTGTTATGCTTTAGAGTTCTATATACCTCTCTGATTTGTTAATGCTAATTTTGAGTCATGTTGACTTATTTCAGCAAAACATAATAGACATAAACGACTTCAGCATGTCTCCTGCCTTCTACTTGCATGTTTTGCCGTGGAAAGTGGATTTGGCAATGAGACTCATAGTGGTATAGTAATATTCTACATGGACTCTTAGAGCATCGTGATCATTGATCAATGAATGAAACCATGAGGGTGGAGGGGAAATTGCCTCCATTATGTGTAACAGAAAACTCTGATGGCAGCACAAGTCAGCACTAGAGAGCACATTCATGTCTCTTTCCATTATAATAGTGAAGGATGACAGGGTTGGAACAACAGCCACAAAACAGTCTGTTTTATGACTGTCATAACCTACTGCACTTCCTTGTCTAATGAAAAAAACATAGGACATTACCAATATGCTTTATTTACATTACATTTTCTAAATAAATATCTCTAGGATAGAGTAACTTCACATTAGCTTGATATGAAAACAGCTAGATGAAAGCTATATTCTCATTTCATTCTAAAGTATAAAACGTGTTATGTGTTTGTGATGTGTCAAGCCACACAGGTGCACTTACTACGTTTTTAAAACAACAAGGGAGACGTTGGACTAAAATGACAACAAAGGTTGTAGTGGGTATCTGCTTCTAAATGATGCCCTGTCAAGGCAGCATCAGTTAGCATTGGCTGGCTAGTTAGCCGCAAGGGGTGCTAGCTCACATCAGCTAGCATTCATGCCTTACCACAGTGCCACTTGCCCGATATTTGTACGTAAAACAATCAATGAAAACATGTGGTGGGTTGCAAACACTTCAAATTAGGACGGTAGTTTTTGCTGCCCGTTGAAATTAAATGTCAGGTAGCTTGCATAAATAACCGTAGTGACAGCCAGCCAGCTAACCTGACGCCTTGTTTGACGTTAGCTGTCGGCTAGCTAGCACGACTAGCTAAGCCTCGGCGATGCAGCATCAACAGCACGGTGACATTTCGCTCACCTAACAGTGACCGCAGGTGTTTCAGCCTGGTCAGTACATCCTTCTTTGGGTCCAGAACTTTCTGTGTAGATTTCTTGACGTCTCCATGCCCCCTTCGAGTGAACATTCCGCTGTAAAATGCAACCGTGAAGGCTGAAATCACCTGTGCTTCACCATACACCGAGCCTCCAATGTGACTGTCACTTTTCTCACCACCACTCTATGCCTGCTCGGTAAACATTCGTCCGACGGCCGCTAGTGTCCTGTTTTCTGTGGGTGTGTAAACACGGAAGAGCAGCCTGACAGAGAGGAGTGGTCACATTATATGAATACGCCTCCTTGTTTATACCCGTTGCACCTTGCACTAAGAGGGGGGCTTGTTTTTGTGAATTTTAATAAGTAATTTCACCTTTCAATTTAGGCTATATAGTTTTGGTTTATGCTCAAGCTGTTGCATTGTGAAGATGTGGGGTTCGTTTGATAGTGCCACACTATTGCCTCTTAAAAAAAAGAGAAACAAAAGTTTGAGTGCACTGTCATGCAGTTAACTTTAGGTTGAAGACTGGCGCGGCGGCGCCCATCTTTAGTCTTAAACGGGGACTTATCGATTCCAATTACTTCCTACAATAGAGGTTTATTAAGAGGAGCTTGGGGTCTAGTAGTAAATATAGATCCCAAGCGCCCCCTGGTGTTTGACATAGTAAAACACAAATCACAGAGAACAACAGTATTTAAATGAATGGAAAGGAGACTTGCAAATATTACTTTGAATGGAAATTGCCTTGCCCACGTATTTTGGATTAGATGTTTATGTTAGGGATAACTCTGCAAATAAAGATCATTATTGATTAACGTGCAGATTAACTTTTGATATACATCAGGAAAAAAAATTACAATGCCTTTTAGAAATTCCTAAACCCAAAGAGCCAAACTGCTTATACTACAGCCTTTATTTTATATATATATATATATATATATATAAAATAAAGGCTGTAGTTTGTTGACTGGATTTTATTTGTATTACTTATTTTTTTATATGGATTTTTCGTTTTTGAGAATCTGTTTCCATTTTACAAATTGCAGGCCTTGAAAAGCGCAAACGAAATGTACTTACTTTAGACGTACTAAACAAGCAAATGTTTTAATTTTAAAAGCTAGAACCAGGCTTTTTTTAGAGCATTTTTTTAAATCTTAGAAATAGTAATAATGATATACATTTCTGTAAATGCCCTAATGCATTAATCATTTACACTCTAGGTTTCAGTTTCTCTAAGAGCTACAATAAAAAGTACTGTGCTGAAATTTGGACTTGTCATAGCATGGCAAGCACAGATTTAACTATAAACATTAATGATGGCTGCATTCCATTTATTTCAGTTCTAGAGCTCTGGTATTGTGCAAGTTGCTTCATGTTAGCTCTAAATGGAACAGTCACCATTACTGTTATTGACTCCCAGTGGCAGAATGCAACTAATTTCCTTTAGTACTGCACTTAGGTACAAATTGAACATACTTTGCTTGAGTATTCTTCTCTTGTTCCTGCTACTACTCTCCTTTACTTCTACTCCACTATTTAGGGTTAAATATTATATTTTGTATTTCACCTTTATTTAAAAAAAACAATACAATTATAAATATTTAAAACATGTTTTATTTTAGAGCCAACACAATATTAAAATTGCTTTTGTGTTGATGCACTTCTATAACTTTCTGCTTTAAGTACTGTTTCTTTACATGATGGAAGGTTTTCCTGGTTATTCTTAGCTACTTAATATTACTTGTGTAACATTTTAATGTGATAATTTAACTTAAAGTGTGGTATTAGTGTGGTATCAAAACGTTCAATGAAGTAAAGGATGTGAATACTCTTTCCACCAGTGTTGTGTATAACTAGGTATACAGTAATGTGTCTGCAGGATTAAGTTCTATTAATAGTAGGTGTTCTATCTGATACAATATTCTGCAGTATGAGGGTACAACTCACTTAGGTCATGCTGTATAAATGCACATCAATGTCTATGTATTAACTGCATCATACTGTATTTAACTCCAGCTCACAACCCATTTCAACTTATAGTCAAAGCCTTTATTAAAAATACTGAGTGTCTGGAACTATTATCCAAAGCTAAGAGCACCAATTGTTACAATGCACTTACGAATGAACCAGGAACCTAACTTCCAGATGAAAGAAACCTGTAGTTTTTGATATCACCACTCCACTCCACTATGGTGACATTTACAAAGAGAAAAAAGGTAGAACAGCTTCACTGCTCACTCAAGCCGTTGCCACTTGACACTTAAAACTGTAGGTTTTGATGAATTAAAATAAGAATACAAGCTCTGCTTTTACATATCAGAGCTCTCCTGCAGTTATAGTAAACTCTGGGTTATGGTAAATTGAACAGAGTTCAGTGTGCTCATGACTTTAATGGATTTCAAATTAATTAGTTTTACATGGTTGTGCAGACAGCAAATTCCATCTTGGGAATGGAAAAAGGCATTTATGTTCTGAGATGAATCTTAAATTTGAAGAAATTGGATGCATCTGTTAATCAACCCCAAACAAGCGGACATTTGGTGCAATCTCACACTTTCGCTTGTCTGAACCTATCTGTCTTATTTTAGAGGCAATTAATTTTGAGGCTTAGCTGGGGAAAATTATTTTATTTGCACATTATACACACATCCCATTAAAGACAGAGCTTGGACTGTAGAGTTGAACTTTGTGACTGAGAAATCTTTTTAGACTTAAACTAATGCAGAGGAGTAAACATATCTTCATAAATGTTCCCCCTATCAAATATCACACTATGCAATCCTGCAGTTTTTTAAGACTTCCTATTATAAGATAATGTCTTTATATATATAGGAATAGCTACATTTTGTATGTATTATACTCACAAAAACCTCAAATAAGACTCCACATGAGATTCTGGAATGTCCAAATTGACCAGGAGGTGGCGCCTAAAACATTGGTAATATGAGGCAAATTAACATACCAATAAAAGCTTCACATATCATTGAGGGTCTGAATATTTTGACCAATAAACAATGCATGTGCAGGCCTGGAAAAATAGGGTTCTCGTCAAAAAAATGTATGAAAGTTAATTAAAATGGCAACAAAGAGAAACTATAATCAAGAAACATTTAAGAAGGATAATACAGAATTAGGTTTTGTTTGAATAACTCAACTATTAAATTAAAAATAAAAGCAACAATGTCAGTGTTGACGAGTCGACTGTGAAGATTGTTATGCCCTCAACAAAGAAACCAGACTGTATTTTATTTCATTTACCACCCCCACATATTGAGACACTGACAATGTTGTGAGACTTATTGTCTCTTTCTTTTTCAAGGTTCTGCACAATGGATGTCTTGAATGATAGGAGAGCGAACAGAGGGTAGTGAGAGCGGAGGCCAAAGAGGAGGAGTAAAAGACGTGTTAAAATCAGCCTTTGCCCTGCAGTTTGGTATGACACTCATTATCTGAAGTGGGCCATTCTGAGAAAGGAGGAGGTTGCCTGTCACAACAGATGTTGATTACACAAAACAGGGTAGTTTGGAAGGATGCGTGAATAAAACACAAGCCCGCACACATACACAGACACAGGGTTATTGTTGGTGCTTTGTCACGAGTCTTAATTGATTTTAATCACCATTCCTTCTTGGCAAAGCTCCCCTGTTCTTGAAGTGCAGGTTATTGCTCATTATCTAAAATGGCATGGACCTACGATAATCTATCAACAATAACAATGGAAGTGCATTTTTTTCTCCTCTCTCTAATCCTGCACCTGGAAGTATATTCAGGGTTCAGCCCATTTCTGAAATAATACACCATAGGCTGCGACAATTCAACTTTATAGCTCACCGTAGAGGCCATACGCTGCTTTCTCAAAGATACTTCAGTGCCCAATAAGACAATTACGGTGCCAACTGTGACATTATTTCTGAATGAGATAATTTAATTCAAAATGGGATTTCCAGTGTATGAACCAGCATAATTCATTCTTTTTTTCATGCAGGCCTAGAATTACCAATCTCCAGGGCCTGGCAGAGAAGAGAAGCCCTTATCATGACCAAATGGTGGCACTGCAGCCTCACAAATGCAGACCCTCCTTCTCATGGCCAGGCTGTCGGACTGATTCCAATCCAAGGTTTGAAAAGCACTTGTCTGCTCTAAATTGTTCTTATAAAGAGCTTGGAAATACTTGACTTTTCTCCTTATGTGGTTATGGATTTCCTTTTTGTACAATTAAGTGCCATTAAAAGCTAATGTATCCTGTTAAACCACATTAAGGTGTTGGGGGTGGACAGTGGCACAGTTCCGAATATTGTGAATAGGAGTCCCACTCTCTGAGCATTTTTTTTTTTTTTAAATCTATATTGGACCATTCAGAAACTTCAGGATGAAAAGGATCAAAAGGGGAAATGTCCACAGGGCTGCTGATTCTCCTGGCTGTGAGACCACCCACAGCTGCTTGACATAGATGAGCTACAAAGCAATGAAACCATGAAACAAAACCAATCTGTGTTTGACTCAACCGGGAACACGGGCGTTTAGTATCTAACACGGAAGCTATCTTTTTATGTTCACAATATTTGTATGAGTAGAATACAAATTATAAATATATATTGCTCCAATTACATAAATTAACACCATTAATTAAATATATTTTGCCCCATTGTAATGTTACAGTAAATACATTTTAATTTTGAAAAATGTATCCTATTTATTAAAAGCTTTTTCTACAAATAACACAAACAAGAAGCTGCCATTTATATTTAAGCTCCCACCAGGGGTCGTCATGGTGCCCTTAGCCAGCAAGGTTATCTAACCTTATCTAAGAAGTTCAAAGCACTATATTCATTATTTTTGGAGCCTAGAAATGTGCACGCCTTTCTAAACAGCAAAGTGAGGAAAGATCTTGTGTTCTTGTATGAAATTCTCGCCTTTTATTTTTTCAAACGCTACAATTATGAAGCTCTGTATATGGATACAAGTGATTTCTGAATCTAGTGTTTGTAATGCACACTGTAGTTTGGAGCACATCTCCATGGAGGTTAATGAGGGGGCACTCTGAAGTAATTAAAACAAGAGCATTATAAGGCAGCAGTTTCACATAAGGCACTCATAGCAGCATAACCCATACTTAATTAAAACTCTATGCTGACAGCATTCTGTATCTTCTCAGGTAATCTGCTGTGAAATTAATAAGGAGGGAGAATTAAATGACTAATGTTGGCAAAGGAAAGGCAATTTTTTTTCTTCAT